TCCTTCTAGTGCTGAGGCCAGGCGCTGAGGGGTCCTTCTAGTGCTGAGGCCAGGCGCTGAGGGGTCCTTCTAGGACCTAGGCTGGGCCCCAGTGTTAACCACACAGCTAGGTGCCAAGTGGTCCTCCTGGTACCTAGGCTGGCCCCGAAGTCAGCCCTGCAGCCAGGCCTGCTCTGCTCTGCTGTGCAAGCCTCACTGTGGCAGGCAGATGAGTGTTCCATGGAGGCGAGGAGGCGTGTGCTGGCGGGCATGGAATTCCTGGCCTTCACCCTGTGGGTAGTTCAGGCTGCTGTCAGGGCCCAGGGCCTGCCCCACGCCAAGGCTCCCACTTGTGGCCTTGGGCTGCGAACACCAGGGCTGGACAAGGTCCTTGGGGGTGTGGGTCTGGTTCTGCAGACGCAGCCTCTGAGCCCCAGCGTGACAGCACCAGAGACACCTCTCACCTGGGGTTGGAGCCAGATCCTAAAGCTGGATTCTCAGGAAGGACTGGGGGCTCCCAGGCCCTGTGGGCTGGGACGAGGTGGCGTTCTCCGGGGCAGCCGTGATGTCTGGAACAGCCCCGGTGCTCACTCCTGAAGTCAGTAACGCGCTCTTGTTTTTCTCTGCTGCATAGAGAATGGGGAAACCTGTAAGTCCACTCGCTGCTACCAGGTTGCCTCCCGGGCCCGGTTGCCCTGCATGCCTGTGTGTGCGTGGCCTGTGTGTGTCTGTGTGCGTGTTCCAGGCCTGTGCCTGCCCTGTGCACGCTGGCCTGTGTGCATCCGAGTGTGGCCAGAGCTTACCTAGTGCTGCCGCGGCTTCCACATCAGTTTCCTGTTGTCTTTGCTCCCCTCTGTTCACGGTGGCTCCAGCACACACCTGAAGCCTCTTCCTAAGTGAGGCCCAGGAACTGAGACCTGGGAGGTGGCCGAGCTGCTCCGGAGTGGAGGGGAGGCGTGTGCCTCGCAGGGCCCGTCAGTCCTTCCACATCCTTCTAGGTCGGGTGCTAGCTGAGTTGCGCCCCACGTGGAATGCCTTCCATGTTAAAGCCGTACACCCTGGGGACTGACCGTTCAGTCTCCAGGCGGAGAGGATTGCGGATCAGTTCTCTGTGTGGTCGGACCCTGGGGCGGGAGCTGCCTGCGTCTGAGCTCCGGGGTGGGTGGGAGGGAGCACCCTGGACGGACCCCCAAGCTGCTCCCTGGGAGTCCTCGACGCTGTCTCTGTCCCCTGCCTGCCCCTGCCAGTAACCGCCTGGGCCGTGTTTTCCTTGTGGGCAGGCAGTGCCTGGGGCCTAGGTGAGGAACGCCTTGGCTGAGTGGCCACACTTCCCTTTTTATCTTTAACCCTGAAATCTGAATTAATCAGACTCGAGAAACTGCAGCTGTGTGGGAGGCGTGTAGGGAATCCCTGTACTTCCTGCTCCATTCTGTGAATCTGAAAGTGCCTTCAGAATAGCGTATTAATTAAAGCTGCAGAATGAGGACGCAGACCCAGGAGTAGGGTTTGACACACACGTGCACGCACACTCGGGGACCTGCAGTGGCACCTGTGCCTCCTCCCAGCACCAGGGCTTGCCTCTCCTGGGCTGGGGCAGGGGCAGGTCCCCACAGGCCTGTAGGGTCAGGAGAAGGTGGGCCAGAATAGACGACGCATGGGCTTTGTGTTCACGTGGGGCGTGCGTTTGGGACGGCACTGACTCTCCTGGCCCAGCAGTTCCTTGGGGTTGGGCTAGGAGAAGTCCTCCGAAGATCTGGAGGTTGGGCCCTGACCTCTTCTGGGCAGTGCAGGTGTGAGATGCGCGCAACTTACTGTGACATCCCTGGGAGTGCACTTAGGAATGTCTGTGCATTTGTGTGCGTGCTCGCGTGTACCTGTCAGCGCACCTGCAGGTGGACATGTACCTGCCTGTGTGCACGTCTGTGTACGTGTTAGTATGCATGTCTGCACATGCTATGCATGTCTTACATGTTAGTGCGTCTGCACCTGTTTGTGTGCACATTATGACTGCACGCCTATTTGTGTGTGCATGATAGTGTGTGCATGTGTTTGTGTATTAGTGTGACTGCATGCCTGTGTGTACATGTCAGTGTGTCTGCATGCCTGTGTGTACATGTCAGTGTGTCTGCATGTATGTGTGCGTGCATATACACATTAGTGTGCTTATCTGTGCCTGTGTCTGCAGTGGTGCTCCTTGCTGTGGCAGCCGGCATACTCCACCAGCAGCCAAGGGACAGGTCCCTGCTTCCCCCCAGCACTCACTGCTATAGACATGCTGCCTTCTCCGACCCCCCTTGCCCCTGGCCTGGTCTCACTTCCTGGCATTGCTCTTTGTCCCCAAACACACTGGTAATTGTGGTCTCTCCAGAAGTCGAATTCAAAGTTCCAAGTTCCTGTAACGAAAGCCCCTTGACTGTGCTGTGGACAGAGACCCCATCTGTAATTAGACTAAGCTGGAGAGGAGATGAAAGGCCTCTCTGTGATCCTCCTGGGAACTGGTGGTTGTGATCAGGTTTATTTGGCTTAAGGGTCAAGTGGATCAAAGGGCGTGAGCCTGGACGGCGTCCGTGGGGCCTCTCCGTGACCCTGCATGGGCGGCCTCTGTCTGTCCGCCGCCGCCCCTCTGCGTCCAGGGCACTGGTGACCTCCCCAGGGGGCCACGGTCGCGACTGTGCTGACTGCAGCTGGCCTGAGACCCGCTCTGACTTGCAGGTCCACACACGGGCCGGGTTTTTCCAACACAGAAACGCGAGTGCTCCCCTAGGGCTGCCCTCTGCCGGCGTTTCCCGAGGTGGCTTCCTGGAACGCCAGTTCTGCTGCGGTTTCGGGGCCTGCCTAGAGAGGGGACCGTGGGATAGAGGGGGGAGGTAAGCTCTGTCCCGCAGGGGCCTGAGCACTGCACAGCATGATTCTGCAGTGTCCCCAAACCTGCTTGGCTGGGGAGTCTCCTGGGGGGCCGCGGCCGGGCCCAGGCTGCCAGGGACACTTTGAGACATGGACTGGCCACGGCAGCTTCGGAGAGCAGACGGGGAGGGCCGTGGAGCAGAGCTGCGTTGTCAGTGAGGACGGAAGGCCGGGGCTGGACGGCCACACAGTGGAAGTGCTTATCCTTTAGCCCTTGGCCAGGCAGGGGCAGGGTGGGCTGTGGGAGGGGACCCCAATAGTGGCCACTGTGAGCGCCTGTGCCTCCAGCTGAGTTCTCGGCAGACCCTGCCCCCCCGAGAGCTTCAGCAGTGATGGCTGCACAGGCTGGGGGGAGCTCGGGGCCTTTCCTTCTTGAGCTTCTGGGCCCTGGACCCAGTCGTATCAGGACCCTCGGAGAGGAGGGGAGAGGAGAGGACAGGAGGGGAGGGGAGGGGAGGGGAGAGGAGAAGAGAGGAGGGGAGGGGAGAGGACGGGAGAGAACGGGAGGGGAGAGGAGGGGATGGGAGAGGAGAGGAGGGGAGAGGAGGCCACATGTGCTCAGCCTGACGGGTGGTGCTTGGCAGCGTCTGACACAGGGTTTAGGGGCGGCGCCATGAATGTCAAGAGAAATGTGTCAGCCTTGAAGGCGTCAGGCACACAGGACACCCAGACGGTTTCCACTCTGTTCTGCCTGCTTCGCAGACGTAGATGTAGTTGAGAAAGCGCTTGTTGTTTGTGTCGTGTGACTAGCCCTTAGAAGCCTGGCAGCCTTAGTGTGCTGAGTTCTAGGTGCCTGGAGGCCAAAGCACCCACTGCTGAACAGCCGCCCCGCTGCAGTCAGCGCCTCTCGCTCAGAGCGGCCGCCTCTGCATCCTTCAGGGTCAGAGGAACCGCCTGATCCTGACTCTCACAGCCCTTTCCAGCACGTGTAAATGTGGCTCATCAGGGCTCGGCTCAGCCTCATGTCCGGAGCATGGGCGCACCTGCCGCCCGCTGACCGTGCCCACCTCCCCCGCAGGGACCAGTCCAACGTCAGGCGGATGCACACGGCTGTGAAGCTTAATGGCGTCGTCCTCAACAAGTCCCAGGACGCACAACTGGTCCTGCTTAACATGCCAGGGCCCCCCAAAAACCGGCAGGGAGACGAGAACTGTATCCTTTCCCACAGTGTGCCTGCTGGGCATGTGGGCATCCCCTGGCGGCTTCTCACTGAGACCTGGGATTGTGGGTGCTGTGAGCGAGCCTGGCTTCCCGCCTCTTCTTCAGCCCCAGGCCCTGGGAGCTGCGACTGGGATGCAGTGGGGCTCTGAGGCCAGTGGTGACGGGGCCAGAGTTGAGGCCAACCCTGGCATTGGTGTGGGGAGGGAGGGCCTGCCTACAGTACCAGCCCCACTGTCTCCGGGTGCTCAGGGCTGCCCTGGGACTGGGAGGCTCCTTGTTGTGCACCCCCACAGCGGCTGTGCGTCCTGGGACCTCCACTGGGGCTCGGCCCCACCCTGCCCGGACGATGGTGGGAGGTGAAGAGCCCAGCTCTCGGCTTTAAGGCCCCAATTAGCTGCAGCTTTGGGAATTTGTGCTTTGTTGGGAAGGAGAACTCCGCGGTGCATCTGGGCGTATTGGCACAGACAGGGCGATGCCTGGCACATCCCTGCCAGGTCGGCACCAAGAGCCGGTGCCAGTGAGGGCATGTCCTCCACGGGTCCTGGTCAGGAGCTGTGGCCCAGGTCCCCTAGAGACTGGCAAGGACCCAGTCCTTTGGCTGGGGTTCCCTGTCGTGGGGTCAGCACTGTGGGCTCTGTCGCTGTCTCTGCTCATCCTTCCTGTGGCCACGGTGCTCCTTCTCTTTCCTGAGCACCGGCCTCTCTCTCCCCTGCCCTGCCTCTCTGTGCCCGGGGGTCTCTCTAATCCCCACCCCTCCTCTCACCTTGGCTCTGGCTTTCACAAATCAAATCTTAGCTAACTAGGAAGAGGATAAAACCTCGCTCCCAACACGATTCCAGCTACACACGCCCAGGTGAGATCAGCTCTGGCCTTAACTCTGTTGACCACAGACATGGAGTTTCTTGAGGTCCTGACCGAGGGGCTGAACAGAGTCCTCCTGGTCAGGGGTGGCGGCCGGGAGGTGATCACCATCTACTCCTAACGCCCAACAGCGTTGCGGCATGCTGGGACGGGCACGGAGGATGGCGTGGGTGGCCTGCACCTGGGCTTGGCCCAGGGAAACAGCAAACACACCTGTCCCCCAGTGATGCCACCCAACCTGCCCGTGGGGCTTCCTACGGAAGTTTCTAGGCCCGTCACCTGGGGCTTTCCTGTTCAGCAGCCTTAAACAACAGGCTTAACCAGCAAGGGCGCGGCTGGACGATTTCCTTGCGTCCGAGGGCAGACACTGCTGCGGGAGTGACCTGGACGTGGCCGGATCTTCTCGCAGGTCACAAGACGCCAGCGAGCCCTCGCCTTGGTTTCTGGAAGTTCTTTTCTTGGCTGGACTTACCCAGTGGTTAGGTTGCATTTCTACCCCATCCAGAACATTCTTGGAAGAGCACCCGGAGCTGAAGCTGTCCCTGGTGATGAAGGTGAAACGTCAGCCCTGGCCGTGGCTCCGCTCAGGGCTCTGGTCACCTCCGAGTCGCTGTGTTCCTTGACTGTGTTTGTGTTTCTGCACCTCAAGGCAGGGAGGCTGGAGGACTCTGTCCATGCCCGTGTCACCCTCGTGTGGGAGCATCTGGGCTCAGCAGGTCCGCGTTTCACGAGCTGAGGCGTGGGCTGGGGCCATCTGGAAAGGGAACTCAGCTTTTCTGGAATATGGTGGATCATCTGTTGTGTGTGTGGTGAACACGGTGTGTTCGTCAGGGCCTATGCTCCAGGAAGGAGCCCCCAGTTGTGGCTCTGCCATGCCGGGCTGTGTTCGTAGCCATCCTAGTCTCCATCCGCCTTCAGAAAACCAGCCACTTCTTTTCATAAGCACTGACAGGGCCCAGCCCACAGCCACTGCTGCCGTCAGTGCCTCGCACAGGTGAATGCACTGAAACCCAGGGGCACACGCACACGGAGTGAACACCGAGTTCCCCATACGGCCCATGACAGCCAGGACTCTCCATCCCACCCCACCCCAGGAGCACGGCACATGGTTCAGCCTCTGAGCCGGCTCACACGTGCCATCCCCACCCGGGCGCTCCAGGGAAGGCGGACACGGCCCCTGCGTGGGAGGTCCTCAGGCAGCAGTGGCGCCTGGCGTCGGATCTGTCTGGCTGAGTCCCGGGCGTCTCCTCCATGGCCTGTCCTTGCGTGGAGGTGGCGGCGGTGGCACTGAAGAGATAAAAACTTTCAAGGGCCCAGCACACTTTGCACTTCCGCTGTGAGTTTGCTTTACAGGCTGTGGTCACATTTGCAGACTGCGAGCAGTGGCACCGACTTGGGCCTTCCTTTGTGTGTGGCGTATTTATTTATTTAAACACCCCAGGGAGTTACATGGTAAGGAGGTTGTCCATAAAGAGCTTGCTTCTATACTGGAGGCCCCAGATGGCCAGGCCTCGGGCTGCGTCCGGCTTGCACGGTCTCCCGAGGGAATCAGCCCCATCAACGAAGTTCGAATCAGGGCAGAGGCTGCACTTGTGCCTCCAGACAGTGGTTTCCGCACCAGGCTGGCGTTGCTGTAGAGTGACGGCTGCCTAGAGCATGTCCCGGACATCACAGCGGGGCTCAGCAGTTCCCACAGCCTCTGCCTGCCTTGGCTAAGTGTGAGTTAAGCAGCAAAACTCTCCTCCGTGTATGAATGGGGCCAGCAGGTCCTGTGTCCCCTGCACCTGGAGGAGAGCAGGCTAGAGGCACAGTGGCCCCTGGGTGCTGGCTCTGAATGTCAGTTGGTGGCTGGAAAACAGCCCTGTGTGCTGGATGCCTCTGAGGGCCGCTCAGTCCTGCACACCAAACGGCTCGTGAGGGCTCAGCTCTGCCTCCACTCTGGGCTGCAGCCTCTGCAAGCAAGCGACAGGCATCCTTTCTGTTATCAGCTCCATGTAACCAGTAACTACGGCCATTTATAATTGACTCCGTTTCCTTTTGTAGGTTCCCTGTCTTTGTTCTTTGTATGATTTTGTTAGTAGAAAAATAAAGTCCGATGAAATCTAAGTATGCTGAAGAATCTCTCGAGTCTCATTCAGCATAAAAGTTAGGCGACTGGAGAAAATGTACTAGCCGCCCCTTCTCTAGCAGCAGCGTCAGGGCTGACCAGCCACAGCCAACGCAGGTGGCTGGACAGTGACCACATGAATCGGACGAGGGCTTCTAAATCATGTCATCAGCTTGGAACTGACCTTACCCCAAACTTCCTAGTGCTGCATGTTAAAATGACCCAATCTATGTATTCATTTTTGAGACAGTCTCTGTTGCCCAGGCTGGAGTGTAGTGGCGCCATCTCAGCTCACTGTAACCTCTGCCTCCCGGGTTCAAGCTATTTTCCTGCCTCAGCCTCCCGAATAGCTGGGATCACAGACATGCACCACCACACCCAGCTAATTTTTGTATATTACTAGAGATGGGGTTTCACCATGTTGGCCAGGCTGGTCTCGAACTCCTGACCTCAAGTGATCTGCCCGCCTCAGCCTCCTAAAGTGCTGGGATTACAGGCATGAGCCACTGTGCCCAGCCATTTGATTTATAATTTATATAAGGATGGAGGCACCAGAGAGTTGACCTGAGTGGGGACAGCACGTTCTAACATGCGGTGAGATGCCACCTCACGCCTGTGATTGGCCACAGCCAAAACAGTGGAGAACCATGGTGAGGACGTGCGGAATCGGACCCCTCTTGCGGGGTTGCAGCCACATGGGAAGGGCCTGTGGTTCCTGAAAGTGCGAGACACAGAGCTGCCCCTTCCCCAGCAGGTCCACTCCTGGTGTGTGGCACGGCCTCAGGAACGGGTGCACGCAGGGTCACAGCAGCCAAACTGGACGCGGTCTGAGAACATGCTGAGTCCATGCAGGCTGTGCCTGCTGTGGGCCTCACCCAGCTAGAACCAGGAGCCAAGCTTGGAAGCCTCTTGCTCTGGAGGAAGCTGGACACAAGGGGTCTCACGCTGCGGGACTCCACTTAACGCAAAATGCCAGAGCGGGCCAGGCACAGAGGCAGGGCGTGCACTGACAGGTGCCGGGGGTGGGCCGAGGGAATGGGGGAGACGGGGGATGGGGGGAGGCTGCTCATGGGGTATGGATTTCTTTTTGGGGTGAAGCTTACGTGACTGAACGTGCTGGAACACTGCCTCGTGTGTGTCGAAGGGTGAATTATGTGTGTGAAGCTGTTGGGCACCGTCTCCAGAGGGCCTGACACATGGTGGACAGGAAGGGACACGGCACAGGAGGGTGGCGGGTCCTGCTCTGGCTCTCAGGTCACAGGAGAGTGACCGTGAGAGCAGCGTTGTCCTCAGACCCCTGACGGGTGAGTGCTGGCTGCACCCAGGAATCCACACCCGGGACTTGGAGCACAGGAGTGGCCAGCTGGGGTGGGCCTGCTGTCCTGAGGGCCACGTGCTCACAAATTCCAGCAGGGAGGCTTGAGGACCCACTGATACTCACACGTCTGGGACCAGGGCCCAGTCAGAGACCCCGAGATGTCCCCTTCCCTGGGACCCCGAAAACCAGGCTGCCTCCTCGCCTCAGTGGGTGCTTCCCAAGGAGCAAGAACTCGGCTAGAGCAGTCACCCACTCGTTCCCTCATTCACTCACCCACTCGTTCTCCCACTCATCTGCACACTAATTCACTTACCTGCTCATCCACCCGTGCCCCGCCTCACCCATTCATTCACCCACTCACCACTCACTGTCACCCACCCATTCATTCGCCTACTCGTACTCATTTACCCCTCAGCCCCTCACTCATCGCTGTCATTCACAAACTCAGTCACTGTTCCATTCATTTATTCATTCCCTAACTCACCCACTCATCCTTCAGCCATTCACTCACTAATTTACACCAAGTCACTCCCACTCATTCAGATACAGGCTGGTTCAGCTATAAGATCATCTGGTAGTCAAAGTCTACACAAACGTAAGAAAGAACAAAGCTCTTGGTTTCTGTGACACAGGCCTCTGTCCTTGTGTCACCTCTGTCACCCGGTCTCCTGCAGCAAAGCCTTCCTGGCGCCAGCATGGTGGGAAGACCTGGCCGAACGGCAGGTAGAGCTGCCCCAGGAGCAGGCTGTGTGCCGGGAGTCCTCCGAGGAGCCTCCGCCTCTGTCTCGCCTGCAGTGATGCATGGCCTGCCTTCTAGTGGCACCCACGTCCCCCGACGGGTGTGACCCGGGAGCCAGAGCAGGACCTGATGCCATCCTGTGCTGTGTCCCTTTCCATCCGCCACGCGCCAGGCCTGCTGGACATGGTACCCAACAGCTTCACACACACAATTCGCCCAGGCCCAGGCCAAGCTGCTGCAGCATAACTGACGAGACACACCGATCTTTACACGTGGGTGTTTAATGAATGACAGCCATTCAGCACTGGCTCACTTTCTGTGCATGTGTGTTTTTTGCAGGGTTTTTTTTGGAGGGGGTTGTGGTTCTTGTGTTAGTCTGTTTTGCATTGCTATAAAGGAATACTTGGCACTAGGGTATTTATAAAGAAAAGAGGTGTATTTGGCTCCCTGTTGTGCAGGATGTACAAGCACGGTGCCTGCATCTGCTCAGCTTCTGGGGAGACCTCAGGAAGCTTCCACTCAAGGCAGAAGGCAAAGGAGGGGCAGGGATGTCACATGGTCAGAGCAGAAGAGAGAGGGGGAGGTGCCAGTTCCTTTAACCCAGCAGTCCCCAACCTTTTTGGCACCAGGGACTGGTTTTGTGGAAGACAAGTTTTCCACAGACAGGGGGTGGGGGGATGGTTTCAGGATGAAACTTCCACTTCCAATCATCAGGCATTAGATTCTCATAAGGAGCACCCAACCTAGATCCCTCGTATGCGCAGTTCACAGCAGGGTTCAAGGGCCCACAAGGATCTAATCCCCCTACTGATCTAACAGGAGGCGGGGCTCAGGCAGTCGTGCTCCCTCACCACTGCTCACCTCCTGCTGTGTGGCCCGTTCCTAACAGGCCACAAACCAGTAGCAATCCACAGCCTGGGGGTTGGGGGCCCTTGCTCTAAAGAACCAGATCTCCCACGAACTCAGAATGAGAGCTCACTCATCACCATGGCGAGGGCGCCAAGCCATTTGCCAGGGATCTACCCCCGTGGCTCAAACCCCTCCCACAGGCCCCACCCAGCACCGGGGATCACATCTCAACATGAGACTTGGAGGGGACACACACCCAAGCCCTGTCCATTCCCCTTACCTCGTTCAGGCTCAAGTGTGGCACCCTGAGGCACCAAGGGCCCTGCTGGGTGAGGCAGGCCCCAGCAGCTGGAGTTGGCAGTGGTGTCAGCGACTGTTTCCGGGGCTCTTTGAGCAGCAGACCGGAACAACTCTGCTCCTGTCTGGTGTTTGCTGGAGTTTCGTCTGCACTGACAGTTTTCGTTTTTAACACCAAGGTTTAGAGGCAAAGCAGGCTGAAGCCCAGGCCTGGCAGAGCCTCCCTCCTCCCCAGTCGGTTGGCTGAGCCTGGCCGAAAGGGTGTGCAGGGATCTCCAGTCGGCGATGTCACTTGGGGCCTGATAGGTCCTCCAAGACAAAACAAACAAGGTCCCCTCAGCGTGAGGCCACGTGTGACATCACTGCACCCCCAGATGAATCTTCCTCGTGTGTCATCCCCAAAGCAAGTGCCACATGAGTGAGATGCAGTCATCGCCAAACCAGGGGCTGCCAGGCACCAGGCCAGGCAGTGCCTCCAGGGTCTCGGAAGTCCCTGGAAACGCTGTGAGCGCTCTGGCCTCAGGAACCCCGAAAATCCCTCCCTGTGCTCAGAGGAGACACCACTGGGCAGTCCCGAGGGGTCTGTAAACACCCAGGAGCAGGGCACATTGTCCACAGAGAAGCAGCAAATAAACTGGCAAAGGCCGTGGCTTCTCCACAGATTCCTGTTCACACAGAGCCCAGCTTCTCTCCATAAAGCTGGGTTCGCGCAGCCTCGTGTTCCCGTTACCGTGAACCGAACCTTGGGGTTTTCTTAGAGCAGTAAAATGGAAAAACAAAAAAGCCTACCTGTAATTATGGAGTTGTGTGTGTGCACGTAAATTTACCGTCCTCTAAGCCGAGAGGAACAGGCGCACTTCCTCCCAGAGCTCCGCGCAGGCAGCCTGCTCTCCACGCCTTCGGCCACAGGCTGGCGGAGGGGACTGACTGACCACAGCACCGACCATCTCTCTCTGAAAAGCTTGTTTTAATACAAGGTGTGGCATGGTACAAAATGCAGATATATTTATTAGGCCTGAAAAACATCTGTCACCAGTTGGCATCAATTTGCTTTATCCTTAAAAACAGAACGAGGAATGTAAACGCAAAACTGCTGTGCAGGCTTGCCAGATCCCGGAAAGCGCCCGCACGTTCCTGTTCGGGGTAACCATGTGGACCCCCGCAGGCTGCAAGACTCAGAAACGTCACTGGGACGTCCTTCTGGCCTGCAACCCTCTCCTGACCCTTGCAGGAGGACACACTTTTCTCCAAAGCTGACACGTCACAGAAGCCGCCCCGTGAGTGTTGGACAGTGAATGTTCAAGTCCCCGTGTTCTGGGCCGCACCAAGCACGAGCCTCTGCCTCTCCCCAGCATCTGTCGCCCTGCCCCTCCCAGCCTTGACTGTGTCCTGCATCCACCTGAGCTGCTGTGGCTCCGGGACCAGGGGCTACCTCCACTGCCGCATGCTGCCCTGTGGCCCCTCCTCGCTCGTCGGGGCTCCCTGTGCCCTGTGGTCCCTCCTCGCTGGTCTGGGCTCCCCACTCTGGCACTTCTCTTTCTAGCGATGCTGCCTTCTGCTACGTCTGCTGCTTGGCCTCCTGCAGGGAGCCGCGGATGCTCCCTGCTAAGCACAAGCTGCTTCCCCTCGGCCCTGTCCCCTCTGACTTCATGATGCACAAGCCAGGCAAAGCCTCAGCTTTTCCATTGGCTCCCAGCCTTGCACTGGGACAGCCTACGGAGGCCACTGCTTGAAGCCTGGGGAGGAACACCCACCCCAAGCATCCAGGCGTTCCCTGCGCACTCTAGGACCTCATTTTGGAATTGTAAAGGAAAGCAGTTTTATGGGTGACACAGATGAGCCTTAGAGCCGGGAAACGCAGCGGCCCAGATGTGTTCACCGCCACGTAGCATCGAGGGCAGGACAGCAGAGGGCCCCTGTGCCTTGTCCGCGTGTCCAAGCTGTGCCGCCTCCGTCACGCCAGCACCTGCAGTCAGTTGCTGTTTGCTGTCGGAGGTGGGGGGTGCGGGCCGTGGTGTGCTGGAGCGAGGTGTGCTTGGCGGCGGCACTAGGACGGGTGGAAGTGGTGGTGGTGGTGGTGGTGGTGGTGCTCGTGGTGGTGGTGGTGTTCGTGCCGCTGGATCACTGGCACCGCGTAGCCCTCTCCCGCTGGCGTGGGCGGCAGGTCCCGCACCACCTCGTGCTCCACTGCGGCAGGCTGGGCGTGTGGGGCCTTGAGTGGCGAGTGGCCCTCCCTGCCCTTTTGGCGGTACCGCTTGTGGCCGTAGGGTGGCGGTGGGGGCTGTGGGGGAGGCTGCGGGAGGTGGTGGCCGTCCTGAGGGGCCTGGGGGGACAGGACGGCCGGCAGGTAGTAGCTGAAGGCTTTCCCGGACTTGCTGCTGGCTGGCACCCCAGGCGGCTTCCCGGAGCCCTTGGGGGACTTGAGGAACTGCTTCTCCGGCCCCTTCGGCCGGGGCTGTGGGTCCAGGGCCCGGGCAGCAGGTTCCAAGGATGGCACGTGTTCCACCAGCACCTGCGACCTGCGGTGGTGCACGGCGTGTGTGTCCGGCTCTTGGGAGCGGGACCGGGCCTGGAGGTGCGAGGCCCTGCCCTGGGGCTCCTGCTTGGCTTGTACAGGAGGGGACCCTGCGGACACAGGTCAGAGTGTGAGGCCCTGGGAGTGCAGGCCCAGGTTCCCATCTCCTCCGAAACGGCCCAAGGCCCACTGGAAGAGCTGCGCCAGGTGTCCCATCTGAGGCCAGCCTGTTAGCCAAGTCTGCAGTCAGACGGCCACCAGCCCTGAAGAGAAGGGGCCCGGCCACCGGGGATGACCTGCCTGGCTCCACAGCTCCCTGCAAAGGCCGACTCCTCTAGCCCCATCCCCACTGCGTGTCCTGGGAACGGAGCTTCTCTCCTCGCACAGCTGAGACCCTGCCTGGGGCCCCATGGCAGAAAGCCAGGTTATGTCAGGGAGGGCACCCCCAGGATTCACGTCCCCTAAACCCTCATTACAAAACAGATGTCAGAAGGACCCAGGGCTTCCACCTTCACAAGGTGCAGTGCAAGCCCCATGCACAGAATGGCCCAGTTCAGCGTCAGCACACAGCACACCGAGCCCGTGACCCCGATCCAGCTCCACCCCTCCTGCCCCTGGGGACTCCTGGAGCCGGGGTCAGGAGAGGGACTTGGCCCCAGTCCTTGGGGAGTGGCCTGGGCTTTAGTCCAATAATCTCCATGCAGGCCACACGGGGGTGCTGCTGGTCAGAAATAAATGGGTGCTGGGCAGGCTGCCAGCTGTCTACGCTGCTTGCCATCCACACTGCCTGCCGTCCACACTGCCTGCCATCCACACTGCCTGCCATCCACACTGCCTGCCATCCACACTGCTTGCCTGCCATCCACACTGCCTGCCGTCCACACTGCCTGCTGCCATCCACACTGCCTGCCGTCCACACTGCCTGCCGTCCACACTGCCTGCCTACTGTCCACTGTCTGTTGTCCACACTGCCTGCCTGCCATCTACACTGCCTGGTGTCCACACTGTCTGTTGTCCACACTGCCTGCCTGCCATCTACACTGCCTGGTGTCCACACTGTCTGTTGTCCACACTGCCTGCCATCCACACTGCCTGCCATCCACACTGCCTGCCTGCCATCCACACTGCCTGCCTGCCGTCCACACTGCCTGCCTGCCGTCCACACTGCCTGCCGTCCACACTGCCTGCCGTCCACACTACTGGACAACCCCTCTGCTGAGTGAGCCGGTGATTCGACCCTAAAATACTGACTTCTCACCCCAAGGTAGGGTTTTCCTGAATGCAGACCCAACGTCTTCCATCTCACTTTGAACCAGGTACTCCCCCTGCCATACACACACACCTGGACGGGGCGCCCGCCTTGCTTTTGGGCGGCACCAACAGGTAGCCAGGAGGCAGTCATGACCAACAGGTAGCTGTGGAAGGACCTGGGTGCCAGGCGGGGCGGGGCAGGGTCCCCCTGCACTCAGGGCTGCAGGAAGCAGGACCTTCAATGGGCACCCACAGCTGGGGCCTCGCGCCCAGGGTGGCCTCCAGGACATACCAGGGCCGAATCTGGACGTGTAGTTCTCAATCCCGGCGAGGTCCAGGTAGTGGTTTCTGCGCTCCGTGTTCTCGTCCACACAGTAGGGTCCCCGCTCTGAGCAGGGCTGGGGGTCAGCGCTGGGCCTCCTGCATGGAGCACAGAGAAGGGCCTGACCGCCGCACAGACTGGGCGGCACGTCCCCGAGGATGGGGTACCTGCAGCAGGCGGTGGACGTCCGGGGTGTGTCCTGACCAGCACCCACCTCCTCGCAGAGCAGGAAGAGCGGACGACTGGGCGCAGACACAGCCAAGTGCCGTCCAGAGAAACAAGGTCATGGCCGCCCCCCAGAACCCTGTGATCTCTGTCCCAGGCACCAGAGCTGCAGGTGCTCTAGGGAGCGGCTCATGCTGTAGTGGCCCCTGGTCACCACTCTGGGACCACTGTAGCCACTGCACCAGCCACTGCCCAGCCACCCTCAGCCACTGCCTGAGCCATCCCCAGCCACCCTCAGCCACCCTTAGCCACTGCCCCAGCCACTGCCTAGCCACCCCCAACCACTGCCCCAGCCACCCCCCAGCCCTGCTGCTGCCAAAGCTGCTGAGTGGAGCAACAGGGAGCCACGGCAAGTCCAAGCTGAGGGTGCCAAGGCTGCTGCAACTGCTGCCCCTCAAAGCCCTCTGCTCAGACAGACTCGGGGGCCCAACTCAGCCATGGTGCCGGATGCTGGAAGGGCCCGTGCCCCACAGAGCTGCCGGCCCAGGTGCCCCCAGCAGGTCTGACCTAGAGGACAATGCATGTCTGTGGCCTGCGGGAAGCAGGGGTATGGCCAGGGTGCCTCTGCCTAAGGCACAGCCCCACCCTGGCACCCCAGCCCTCACCTGACGTGTGCAGACAACCTCCTGTCGGCCACCCTTGGCTCCTCTGGCAGTTCACTCTCTGTTCTGCAACGGTTGGGCTCCCGGTCTGAAAGGGGGGTCCTGCTGTCACTCACTCACTCCCTTCTTCATTCAGCACTAACTCATTCACTCATTCATTAACTCACTCATTCACTCATTCACTAACTCACTCACTCGTTCACTCATTAACTCATTCATTAACTCACTCGTTCACTCATTCAACTCATTCACTAACTCACTCATTCACTCATTCATTAACTCACTCATTCACTCATTCATTAACTTACTTGTTCATTCATTAACTCACTCGTTCATTCACTCATTAACTCACTTGTTCACTCATTCATTAACTCATTCACTCATTTACTCACTCACTCATTCACTCATTAACTCACTTGTTCACTCATTCATTAGCTCACTTGTTCACTCATTCATTCATCTGCTTACTCACTCACCCATCCATTCACCCACTCACTCCTCCATCCACTCACTTGTCCCTCCCTGTCCCCAGCATACAATTTAGGCCCCTGCCAATGTGGGGTAGGGTCCTGTGTGTGTGCTCAGGCCTCGCTCACCCTGGCCGGCAGGAGGACCCTCCTTCCTCTTGCTGGAGGGCTCAGGGCTGACGGTTAGCTTCACACGGAGGGTCTTGCTGCTGCCCGAGGAGTGGTTGACCGAGGCATCCACAACCTCATAGATGGTATGCATGAGGCTGGACATGTCCTGGGGCCCAGCATCAGTGTCACTGACAGAGCAGACCCCAGGGGATGCCACCCGCCCTCCCTGCCAGAAAACACGCCCATCCCCTGCCCCTCCCCGCACCATCCTCGCAGCTGCCGACAGACCTCAGGGACCAACACAGGCGTCTTCTCTGAGCAGCCTGGGTCTGCCTGGGAGGCCCTGTGAGTGCCTCCAGTGCCCTCAGGGCAGCCCTGCCATGTGGGAAGCACAGCCGCAGAAATGGGCGGTGCAGGCTTGGCCCAGAAACACATGTGAATCAGGCCCTGGGGAGACGCAAGCCCAGCTGGCGTGAGGAGCTCGCAGCAGACAGGTCCCCGCCCGCCCCTTGAGGTATGGCGAGGCCAGCACAGTCCATCTGTCCCTCCATCTGTCCCCCAGTCTGTCTACTACTGGGCCCTGTGCAGCCCTTCCTGTGGACCTGACACAAACACAAGCTCACCTACCTCCCTGGTGACCTTCCCACAGTTGTCAAAGTCGTAGAGAGTGAACGTCCACTCCTGGCGGTCGTCGTCCTCCACCGAGACATCGCACTGGAGTGCCTGCGGGGGACATGGGGGCTGGGACCTCGCCTCCTACCCACACCAACACGCCCCATTCCGTAGGGGGCAGGATCTTCTGGGGCCTTTCCCGGGGGTCCCTCATGCCAGCCAGGAAAGGGGGAGCCTAGAGGGCAGTGTGGCTGGAGCCCAGGCCCTGGAACCAGCAGGCCTTTCTTGTCCGTCTTCGGCCCTCCTTGGGGGGACACAGCTTTGTGCTCCGTGACTTGGTTTCCCCACAGTGACACCTGTCTCAGCTCATGCAAGCACTCCATGTCCCCCAGAAGGAGAAGAGGACACGCTGGCCGTCAAGTGTTGTCAATTCCAGAAATCTTGACTGGACACGGAGACCCCACCCCTCCCTCAGCCCTCCCGGGAAGCGGAAGCCCAGTGCCCTGTGCCTTGGGCCCGGTGCCCTGCCTCCAGTCGGGCTGTCCGTCAAGTCAGCTTTGGCATTACTCCTGTAGTGCTAAGGGTACCAAGGCTGGGAACGCGGCTCAAGTTATTTAATGCCAGACCAGTCAGTTTTGGCCAAATTCACAGCAACATCCCGCACTCACTGGCTCCTGCTGACTTTGGCTGCATATTCAAGTTTTGCTTCAGTGCTTTAAATGGGGTGAACTGTGGGGAAAACTGAGTGAACTACGCAGTGTCCACAGATGCCCATTTTAGGGCAACACACGCCTGTCCCTGTGTCCCCGGCCCCAGGGACGTGTTCCCGCAAGTGAGGCCGGAGAAAGACCTACGTCAATGTTGAGGCGCTGCCCGCCTGGTCCTCGTGGGTCCTCGCGGTTGGCTGCCCTCTCTCCGTCATCTGCGCTGAGTAGTTGTCCTGGGCGCTCGCGGCCCTCAGCTTTCTCAGCAGGGAGTGCCACTAGGGGGACAAGAGGTGGCGAAGGGGCTGGCAGAGGAGACATGGAGGATGTGGCCTGCCGTGGGGGGGGCCGTCGCTGCCCTCCCCTCACCGCACCATGATCCCATCCAGACGAGCCTGAGCCGAGAGCCCGATCTTGGGACCCCTGCGGAGGGGAGAGAGGCCCCATCCCAGCCAGCCTCAGCCAGGTGTGCCCTCCTCTCACCAGCCCACAGTGGCTCCCAACTGCAACCACCACCTCAGGGCTGGGGATGCAGCAGACTCCGAGGAGCACAGATAGGGGAAGACAGCCTAGGCCTCCAGGAGATGCTCCCTGTGTCATCATCAGGCCCCCCTCCCCGTAGACACAGTCCCTACCACCCTCCACTCCAGAATCCTGGCACTGAGCCCACAGGCCATGCAGGCCACCTGTGCACTGAGTGTGTCAAAGGCGCCCCCCTCCCCCAGCCTCTGGGCAGGATGGATGAACAGCACTCAGGTTTCTGGGGCACAATTATTCCATTATTCTCTGGCACTCACAAGCCGCGTCCCCAGGATAGGAGCATGGGCCTGTCCCAGCTTAGCACCTGCAGACAAGTGCACGTCGAGCCTGAGCTAGGACGACACTCTGGGCCTGCCTTCCCATTGAGGGGGTCTGGGTGCCTCTCTTGGCTTGGGCCTGCCTTCCCATTGAGGGGGTCTGGGTGCCTCTCTTGGCTTGGGC